TGTAACCAGCACATTAAACATAAAATAACCCTCATTTTAAAACCAAAACATAACTCGTTGCACATAGAATTTAAAAATAATTAACGTCTATTACATTCCTCGCTCTACTCAGAATCTAAATTAACCAATACATAGACACCATGCTAATATAATTTTATCATTTTGAGATAAACTCAATAAAAAATATTGGATTTCAGTTTGTTCGGTTATTGGCAATCTTTAGTTCGAAAATCAAATACTTCTTACAATCATTTTTAATGCCTACCAAAAGTATGTTGACAAACATGTATGTTATAGCAAATCAGATTGAAATATTGAATTCACTTACTTGTTTTTCTGAACCAATGCTGTGTTCCATCAATAGATTTGCAATTGTCTCAAAAGTTTCACCAAAACCTAACGGTGGAGAATCATAGGGTGTGTGGTTGATTACGGGAATTAAATCGTTTGACCTATGAAATAATAAAATATATAAATGTATAATTATAATAAAAAATATAAAAAAAGGATTTGGTACATGCAGGAAAGGCTACGAACAAAATACCATTTGTACTATATTAAAAGGGATGATTATTCCAAGACGTAGGTTGTTGATAGTGAATATAATAGAGCAAGGCAAATATAAACACTTTTAACTTAAATTAAAGTAAACAGATAAACTTTCGTGAGATTATGGAGGGACCAAGCAAATAATGGATCATATAGTGTCACAGTGCCTCAATAGTATTTTCTCCCAGAACCTGACTGGTATCCATAACATCACCACGGATGATACAAAATTGATCAAATAACTTAGTACTATTTTGATTTAGAAACAATAATATTTTATGTATCTGTTATGTATTTGTTAGGATGCAATATGAAATAAGTTAATTCTTATTTACTGGTAAAATTTATTCAAATAATTTGTTTAAGTGGAATTTGTATTTTATTTTCTAAAGGAAAATATGAATTTTTAAAACTTCCTTCAAAAAATCCCTATAGATATATAAAAGTATGTAAATGTTATACATATTGGAATCTCGACAAACACCCCTTCCCCAAAAAAAAAAATTATACTACAGATTATTAAGTTGTAAATGATATACTTACTTTGGTTTGGAAGCGTGCCAAACCGAGGTGATAATCATATTACATACGTTGTCAGCCGGCATAACAGTTACAGGAGTATTGTAATTGGCTAAAAAAACGTGTATAGCTCCTAGTGATACGCCGACACACAGGCCGGGCACACTCTTCATATTAGTAGCCCATCCCTCAATCGGATCGCTTTGAGTGAACACAACTGTTGAAAATTATCTCTAAATAGTATACATTAGTGTCACTAGTCTATACGACCGCGAAAAGATAAACAATGATGGCATGATATGCGTGATAGAGAAAGAACCATAAGAGATTTTCTCATGGAAGATGTAAAAAATCTGTTTGTTTTTCCAGTGATCCGTAAATAATAATTAACTATTGTTGAATAAAACACGGCATAACTAAAATAATATAGAGAAATATTTATGGTAAAAGATTATATTAGCTTTTTTTGTAATTTTGTATTTTTGTATTTATCTTCCGTCAAAGTAAATCGAAATAGTTGTAGGATGGTATTCGCCAAAAAATATTTAAGTGTAGAATTTTGAGTACGATATCATAGATTCTTAAATTTTTATTTTTTTACATAACAAAGTGCCAATTAATTTAATATGTATTTATAGATCTTACGGTACTGATGTCAATAACTTTATAAGCTCATTAAATAAAAGTAATGGATAGATTAAAAATCAATAATAAATTAACGCTAATTAGTGGTGTTAAGATTATTGAAATATTTGGTGGGCAAGAAAATAATAACGAATGTCCTTATATGTTATCTAAAAGTGAATTTATTTTTTATAAAAACGTTTGCACAACATAACTAAAGGGCTTTAACTATTCTTTTGTAGACCGTATTTTTATTAATAGTAATGCAAACGTAACGAGTAAAATTAATGTTGGTGTAATTCTTACTGACATAACGGATCACAGTATGGTTTGTGTTTTAATTCCAAATAATGCTATTTTTGTTATTTATTAAAATGTGTATAGTAATATTGATTTTATTTCAATTACATCAATATAAGCCAATGCAAATTGGATTGAAGTATTTGATGTCTGTAGTGATGTAAATTAATAGTAAAATGTCAACGATAAAATTATTAAAAATGCAATTGATAAATCTATATCCAGTATATTTTTATAAACTAAAAAAAAACGCTTTAATTAATGGATGACTAATGAATTATTAACTTCAACTCACAGCAAACAATTTCTCTCAAATAAATACAAAAAAATCCTTATATTTAACTTAAGCTTTGCATTATAAAAAATACAAGAATAACTTCATAAAATCTGTAAGGCTAGTTAAATTTAATTTGTATGAAAAAAATTCGAAAATGCAAGTTTTAATTTAAAATAGACATGAAAACTAATAATTGAAGTTACTGGTTTTAAATTAAGATCCAAAGATGACATTATCATACTTTGATACGCTAAACTGCGATTTTTACTCTCAATTATTTATTACGATGAACCTCGTGTTAAAATTTTAGCCAAAATTTGGCCGAATGAAAATAAAAACTTCAAAATGCCACATAGTTATAAATCGCTCAGAAATCACCATATTATTTTAAAAATTGTGTCCTGTTTAAAAGAAACTCAATATTCAATAAAAACTTTAGTCTTTACTATAATTTTAACCCGAATTATTATAACAAATAAATAACACTAAAATAACAGAAAGCATTATTTAATGTAT